TTGTACATATTTACATATATTCTGAAAATAATAAAAATTATAAGGAATAGATTAGCAATAAAAAAATATTAAACAAATAAATGAATCAGTAAAAAAAAAAAATTATTAATACATAAATAAAAAAATAATAAGTGAACAAATAAGTAAAAAAAGACAAAAAAATTCTAATAAAAAAATAATATAAATAAATTATAATAAAAAAATAATATAAATAAATTATAACAAAAAAAATAATATAAATACATTATAATTAAAAAATAATATAAATAAATTATATTAAAAAAATAATATAAATAAATTATAATAAAAAAAATAATATAAATAAATTATAATAAAAAAATAATATAAATAAATTATAATAAAAAAATAATATAAATAAATTATAATAAAAAAAATAAATATTAAAATAAGTACTATAAAAAATAAATAAATGAAAAATATAAACTTAAAAAAATAAACAAATAAATAAATGTAAAATGAGTAAAAAAGTCAATAACAAATTGAATAAAGAAGTCGAAAAAAAGAAATTTTCATCCGAGCTCCTCCTCCAATTTGTAGTATGTGTCTTGAACCAAAAATAAATTAAATAAAAAATAAATTAGATAAAAAATAAATTAGATAAAAAATAAATTAGATAAAAAATAAATTAGATAAAAAATAAATTAGATAAAAAATAAATTAAATAACNAAATAAAATAAAATAAAAAATTAAAAAAAAATAAGAAATTATCAAAATAAAAAAATTATAAAATAACAAATTTTGAAAATAACAAATTAATAAAATAAAAATATAATAAAATAAAAAAATTAATAAAAATAAAAATATATCAAAATAAAAAAATTAATAAAATAAAAATATAATAAAATGAAGAAATTTTAAAATAAGAAATAACAAAATTATAAAATAAGAAATAAAAAAATAAAAAAAGGAATTAAAAAAAAATAAAAATAAGAATAAAGAAGAATTAAAAAAAATTATAAAAGTAAAAAAGAAAATAAAAAATAAAAATTCAATGTAATAAAAAAATAAAATAAAACAAATAAAAAATAAAATAAAACAAAAAAAAATACCACATGCCAAACAATGCACTAATCATCTAAATAATAAAAAAAAGCACCGATTTCTCTTTTAAACTCTTAAATTTTTTAACTTTTTCTATCTAAATTTATTGTATTATAAATAGTATTTATATACATCAATACATTTACATATATGCATATGTACATACTGTATGATATGTTCTGTCTGTCAGGGTTGAATTATTGCTTTATTATTCTGTTTTATGCATATATGTACGTCCCATACGAGCTATGTATGAATAACAGCAATAATGTGTGATACGCATAATAACAGTAAGTAAATTTACAAACACCACAAAGTGTCGGAAATTAAATAACAATAGTAGCGAGATCTCATTCATTGCCTTTTGACCACTTACATTACATTCATGATACTGGGTGATAGTTGCAATCAACATTGTCATTTAATATGAGAATATTATTGTACTGCATGAATTGTAGATTTTCGATTATACTTGAAAGTTCATTTTCTTTTTCTCCCTACTTATCAGCGTTAATATACTTTTGAGAGACATTTAAATTAATTGGCAGCGTTCAGGCATTTTTTTTTTTTTTTTTTTTTTTTTTTTTTTTTTNGAAATTTCAGTGGCGTGTTATTTTTGATGTTGAATTTCTTTTACTAAACTTTAGAGCTTTGCCCAATGTATTTCGAAGTGCATTTGAAATGAATAAAAAAAAATAGAAATTGTATCCTAGTTACGTTTTGAAATTTGCAAATATCTAAAATTGTTTTTTTTTTTCTTTTTTTTTTTGGCAAAAGTATCGAAAACTATAAAAGTGGTTATTTTAAGGAACTACTCTTTATGATTGATATATTGTATTTACAACTGTTGCCAATTTCCTTTGTAAGCATTTAGTATATACTATATATTAAATGTATGTATGTACATATTTTTGTATGAATGATTCATTGAATTTTCCTGTCTAAGAGGGTGGATTTTGTAGTGAGTCATACTTCCTTCACCCTATTTAAAGTTTATTTATATATTACAATTACTCGCCCGCAATAACTTCCTGAATTGCATTTTATATCGACTATTTAATTGTAATTTTTAGCTTCGGTCGTTCACTTTGTGTAGCATAGTAAATTATATTTTAAAGATTTGATTATAATACACAGCATGAAACAACAAATAATAAAACAAATTACTAAAAAAATTATAATAAAAAATTATTAATAATAAATAATAATAAAAATCTATTAATAATAAATAATAATAAAAAATTATTAATAATAAATAATAATAAAATATTATTAATAATAAATAATAATAAAAAATTATTAATAATAAATAATAATAAAAAATTATTAATAATAAATAAAAAAAAATTAATACTAAATGAAAAAAATATTAGATAACAAAAAATTATTAATAACAAAAAAAAAAGTAATAATAAATAGGACAAAAATATTTATAAAAAAAAAACATTAATAAAAAATAAGAAAATATTGATAATAAATAATAAAATATTGATAATATATAATGAAATATACTAATTTTAAAAAATAAATAAATAATAAAAGTTTTAATAATAAATAATTATAAGAAAATTAATAATAAGTAATAATATTAACATAAAATAATAAATATACAATTTAAAAACAAATAATAAAGTTTAACATATATTTTTTGATTAACAATATTTAAAAAAAATATTATTTTTTGGTTAATACTGAAAAAATATTATTTTTTGGTTAATACTGAAAAAATATTAATTACAAATAATAAAAAAAAATATATATATATTCTGATTAATAATGAAAAATATATTGTAGATAAAAAAGAGTTGTTTTTTATTTAATAAAAAAAAATAAAAAAATAATATAATACAATTATTAATAATAAACAAATCGAAATTTTTAATAATAAATAATTATTTTCTTTTTGTTTAATTATAAAGAAATATATTATTTTAATTAATAACAACAGAATAAATACATACATATATATTGATTAGGAATAAAAAAACTTCGTTCATATTGAGAATTTCATGTGAAAAAAATTCGTGTGGAAATTTTGATCGTGAACAAAAACGAATTATCGGAATTTATATTTGTTTTACGATAAATATGTTCACCCAAATTAGTTCACATGAAATTCTCAGCAACATCGAATATGTTTTGAATAATCATAAAAGTAAATATTTTTTAATTAAAAATAAACAATTTTTTTATTAATAAAAAAAATTAATTTCAAGCAGTTTCTTTAGTAACTAGATACAAATGTACATGCATACATATTTAGTTTATGTTCTTAGCTCTACTTGGAGCAAGCGAGTATGCATTTTTTCTTAATTTTCAACTACATTGTACTACATACATAATCACACCTATTTTCCGCCTTTATTTTGACAGCAGATAACATTGACAAAGAAAACAACTTATTTCAACGCTATCACATTTTACTTTTCTTATGGTATTGTAGTAGTGCAACAACTCAGACGGGGAAATGACACTCCTTGTGTGCATATTTATGTACATACTACATACATACATAATAATAATTAAATATATAATTAAATTTTGAAGCAAAGGGATCAATAAACAGTTTATTAAAAAAAAGAGAAATTAAATAAATGTATTTTATTTATATAAAGAAAAATTATTTACTGATTAAATTTGTAAGCTCGTAGGTACAACATTGATAGTTATTATAAGTGCATACATACATATCTCAGATTTATAGTCATTTAAGGTGTATGTGCAAAATGTTGGGCAATTTCGCTGTAGTGAATTTCTAGCACCAGCATATTGTCGCATTTACCGCAGTAGAAGCACGATATTCTACTTACATACATATATGTATGTAATCATATAGTATGTGCGCTTTATTAGGCCAAAAAAGTTTTTGTCATTGTTTTGCAAATTAGCAAATCGGTGTGTTGTCAGGGTATACAGTTAAAAAAAAAAATATGTATGTAGACTATGTACGTTAAGCACATATCTACGTGTATATACATAGTTATATTGCCATCATTTTATACTGGTGTATAAACATATGTATGTACGGTATAATTGTGAATTACTATTACATTCTGTATCATTGACTTGTATGTAATATGATTCATGCACCGTAATTCTTTGATTTCTACGTATGCATGTACTCGTATATACGTTTTTATGTACATACATATGTGCATTGATGAATGCCTGTGTTGAAAGTCATGTAATTGCATGTAACCGCGTAAATACATACATACATACATACATATATTTATTTTATAAATATATGTATGTATGTATGTACATATTTATATTGAAAATGTATTTCTTGCGATACGATTGAAACAAAGAATCATACCCTCGCATTGCAATTCGTAATCAATTAGGAGGCAGCAGGCATTGCCGGCTATAGTTTATTTATGTATTATACTACATACATCCGCTGTATTATACTCGTACTACAGATACTTGTGTTTAACGTACATACGTGTACGATGCATCTCGCACTTGAACAATGCGTAGAAACAGACACATAATCGTGTAAACTTACATATTATATGTATGTATGTATGTATGTATTTATCATGCATATAGAATTTTCTGTTCACTTGATTTCACAGCATTCTCTTACAACAAGTTTGTGGTCTGATAAGAAATTTACGAATTAAGAGTATTTGTATTGTATGTACACATAAATACATTTAAAACGGTCAGTGAAAATTTATTTTCGTCGCCTGTGATAGATAGTAGTATGTACATATGCGTAGATATATTTTTATTTTTTAATTTATCACAGCGCAGTCTTATAAATAAACTCGCCTCATTGAAGAAAAGTCGCCTGTTTATGCTTTGAATTTATTTATTTATTTTTTTCATTTTTTCACATTATATTTGTATGTACATACATATATTTGGCATTAATTCTTCTAATGCGTTTTAGTGCGTTTACTTATTTTCTTCTACAAATTTATTGCAGGCGTCAAAAAGACAACATGGGTAAAACTCAAAGCAAGCGTTCAGTTGATATAACCACCGAAGCCAAGAAGAATCCAGATGAAGATGTTACCGGCAAGTTGGAAAAAATTGAAGATCTCGATCAGAAGCAAGTGAATGGTGATGCTAGTTCTCAGGAGAATGCTGAAACGGAGGTATGTAACAAAGTAAAGTTCTAGCGCTTCAGTTTAATTTGTGATCTAGTGGAGAAAATAATAATTTTCTAAGCTTAAAAGAGTAGTTTTATATGACAATTATATGTATATATAACTGGAATTAAATTTAATTCACCACTTTAATCGTATTTTGCAATAAATAGTAAAATTTTTGAAATAACCATTTTTGAACTATGCTTTAATTTGCAAAAAAAAAATTATAACACTTTAAACTGTTACGAGCTACACGCTCCTGAATATTTTTTTAAATTTTATTATTTAATGTTTTTTCTTTTCAAAAAAATTTATAATTATTTTTTTTTTTTATTAATTTTTTGTTATTTATTTTATTAATTTTTTGTCATTCATTAATTATTAATTTTTTATTTATTTATTTTATTAATTTTTTATTTATTTATTTTATTAATTTTTTATTTATTTATTTTATTAATTTTTTTATTTATTTTAATAATTTTTTTTTTATTTAATTTATTAATTATTTATTTATTTATTTTATTAATTTTTTTATTCATTTTATTAATTTTTTTTATTCATTTTATTAATTTTTTATTTTTTATTTTTTTTTTCGAAATTCATTGATAATATTTCCAGTTGAAAATTATTTAAAAAAAAATTTAGAATTCCAACTACCACAAACTGTTACATACAAACTAACAATAAAAATGTATTTTCTTTTACTTCCTTTTCGAGGCATTACAGAAAAAGGAGGGCGATGAAACCGAAAACGATAAAGACTTGACAACCGAAAAGAGTGGCGGCGAGAGTGGTGCACAAGACGGTGGTGGTGATAGCAATACAGGACAAAGTAATGCAAATGCTGCGGAGTCTAATGCCAAGGAAGATGAATCGGCTGCCTCAAAGGATGGCAATAAAACGGCTGAAGAAATATCACCGCTCTCGGATGAGGCTAACAAAAAGCCCAAGAAGGAGAAGGTCAAAAAGAAATGGTCATTCCGCAGCATCTCGTTTGGTAAGAAGGATAAACAAAAACCAGCTAAGGCCGAAGATGCAGCAGCTGAAAATGCGGCGGCCACAAATGGTGAAACCGTAGCGCAAGGAGGCGAGGGTGCTGCTACAGAAGAGGTAAATCTTAATAAATATACAATATATTTTCCATACATGGTATATATAACACATTTATTGATCGCAGTTAAATTAATTATACTTTTCTCTTATATGATAATAATTTCATAGAATGCAGCTGGTGATGCTGAGCAGAAAAATTCGAACGAGAAACCCACTGAAAATGGTGAATCATCGGAGAAAGAATTGAATGGCGAAAAGTCGTCGTCAACAACAACACCAACTGAAGAGCAACCAGCTAAGGAAATCTCTTCCAACGAAAATACCACCACCACCACCACCAACAACATCACTAACAACACCAACACCACCACCACCGAAACAATAAGTTCAGTCGTAATTGAGAATAGCTCAAACACCACTGCCACTGAAACTAACCAGACTGAGAAGCAAACTATTAACAACACTGCCACTACTTTAGCCGCAGAGACTCCTGAAAGTGCACCAGCCGCCGCTGCTACGGTCGTAGTGAGTAATGGTGATGCAATTGAAAAGAATGGCATCGACACATTATCGACCGCCGCTGACCAGAAAGATCAAGTTACAGTTAAAGCCGCCGCGGACTTGATTGCTGAAACGTCCGATGTTGCCGATAAAATCAAAAGCATTCCAAATGTTGTTAACGAGTTGTCCGATAACAATGGTGTACATCAAAATGGCACGAGCGCAAATGGTGAAGAACTTGAACCAGAAATTGAGTCCAAATCACAAGTTGAGGTAATATTCCAAACAGATAAAGCTGCCCACACAGATGAATTAGTTACTTTGAATACCGCTACTACTTCCTCCTCACCCAATACAACCCCTATCTTATCCCCTGACCCCAACAACACTGAATCAACTGCGTGCGTAAGCAACGATAATGACGCATCATCGTCACTAAAGAGCAGCAGCGAAAATGCAATTGCATTCGTGACTGATAAAAAACTTGAAGAAGAAAAGGAAGAAGAAGCAACAGCAGCAGCTATTGTTGTTGAGAGCTTAACAAGTGCTGTAGTAGAAGATGTGGCTATGCAGACAAAAGAAACTGTAGTAGTAGAAGTAGCAACTACAGTTTCAGACGTCGCAGAACAAACTGAAGCCGTCGTTACTGTTGTTACAGGTAATGTAGAGCCCAACGTAGTAACGGAAGGTCAAGAGAACACAACTGCAGCTCAAAACCACAATGAAAATGAAATTGGAATTGAAGCAACGTCTACGGCACAAAGTGTATCGTCAATAGCTAATGAATCCCCAAAACCTCCTCCGCTACCTGTTTCCCCACCACCCTCACAAGTATCAGTCTTTGCATTCAATGATAACGATCAAACCGCCGATGAAGAACTTTGTGATACTACCGAACAGTTAGTTGCCGATGACAAAATATTAGCACCAACAACAACAACAACCACCGAAACATCACATGCAGATATCGAGAACATAACCACTGAAGACAAAGACACCACCACCACCACCACCACACAAACCGAAATTGTGGATATTGCAGCTGAAACGACCGCGCAGTCTCTACCAGCCGCATCTGATGTAGAAACAACTAAGACACCAACCAACAGCGATATCGTTGCGCCAAGTGAATTGTTGGAAGCGCCAGAGACCATAAATGAACCAGTTGAAGAACTACCGCTGCTTGATATTGTGGCAGCAGAGAAAGATCTCTCAAATATCAATACAACAGCAGAAGTTGCTATAGTTCCTCCTGAAGAGATTTCGGAAAACACTGAAGATCAATGTGTAAAGGCGGCCACAGCAGTGGTAGATGAGATAACCGAAAAAGCTGTGGAGTTGATTCAACAACAAAACGATAATCAACAACAAGCGGAAATCAATCAATCAGCCGATAATATAACAGCAACAACAACTGAAGTTACTAAGACTGATGATGTCGAAATCGAAGTTAATAATGCTGATGATGATGATAATGATGATGATATTAAAAATGTTGAAATTTCTATGCCTGCGAAAGACAACGCATTGGATGAAGTAATTGAAAAACTGGAGGCGGCTCATATACAAAGCGTGGAAAATACAGATTCCGACAAACATACATCCTTGATTCTTGAATCAAACATAAATGATTGCTTGAAAACGACTGATAAGCACATAGTGGAGGAGGAGGAGGATAGGGATTTGGCTGCTGAAATTTGTAGTCAGGCTGTGGTCAGCGTTAATGAGAATGACAATTAATGCTGTGGCGTCAAAACAATTGTAACGATTTATAAATACAGCACACTAAATATAAAAGATTGATAAAATACGAAAAACGAAAACGAATACATTTGCCGTTTGTGCATCCAAGGTGAATACCAAAATTCCAAACTAAATAGACTAATCGCATTTGTAAGAGGTTTAGAAAAAAAGAAAACAAAATTCAAACAAAATTACATTGTTTGCTAAAAAAAAAAAAAAAAAAAATGTAATAATAAACACATACATACATGCGTATATATTTCATATGCCATTTTGTTGTACTTGCTTTTTGGATAACTGATTGCATGGTTCATAGCGCTGTTATTCGTATTAGTTGAACTGATTGTTGACCGATTGATTCAAAAACATTTCCTATATTTTTTGCTGATTGCAAATTGCTTTTAATATTTGTATTAAATTTAAATTTGTAAATACTTTTGGGTTTATTTTAATTTAGAAAATTTGGCCAAATTTTATGCAGTTGAAATGCCTTTACGCTAACGATTTAAAATAAACAAAATTGTAATTCTTATCTTTAGCATCATCAAGTGTGCTTTTTTCCCCTTTTTTTTTGTGCAAATTATCTCGAATCAATCGCTCAACTCATTCGCTAGATCGTTACTAACATAAACGCCTTTTTTATAACATGTTGAAGATACGCAGCAAAGTAACATTATTAGTATGTGTTATTAATAATCTTTTCATAATACAATACATACATACATATTATTTATTTTAAATTTTCGTAAAAAAAAAGATGTAAACATAAATTGGATTTTACAAAATATATGTAATTAAGTTTCTTGAGTTCATAGTTTTGTTTGTTTTTAATTTACTTAAAAATTGGAATTTATTTTACCCAAACGAAAAAAAAATAATTAAATAACTTATATACATACATATGTTAAGTGACTCATAACAATTTTATCTTGTCAAACTAAAATTACAAAAAAAAAAACAGTATCTTTCGAACCTCGTTAAACATAATATACAACAACAACGTGTATACTTGTACGTATTTCAGTAATGCCCTGCACCAATGCAATCATTCATATTAAACGTTAAGAAAAAAAAAAAAACAAAATAAAAAAACATCAAATGTGCTGTATTCTGTTCGCCTTATACTACCTCATCACGTGAGTGTCTTATATTTTTCACGTTAACTTGTGCTAATTTTCAGATTAGTGCGAAACTCCCTAGTTGCCCCTTCCTCTCTTTCTCTCTGTATTTTTTTAACATTTTTGTAGGCATAACGTTGACGGCATTATTCATATTGTGTTACATAAGAGAAATGTTGTTTGCTTCATTAAGTCTTTTTAATGTTTTATTGTTTAAATATGTTTTTTTTTGTGTGTGTGTTTAGTTTGCTTTTATAAACTTTGTTTCTCTCTTTGTTTTCTTCTTCTTCTTCTTCTCTAAATTCGTTTGTACAGGATATTACTAACGCTAAGGACCTAAAGGAGAGCGCTGCGGCAGAGGTCACAACACAGGATCTTCCCGTTATATGCGAATAATCCTACTCATAATTATATTATATAAACAAAAAAAAAAAACGAAAGAAATACATTTTTAACATTTACATATTTTAATCATTTTGTACAACTTCATATCCCTAATCCAAGATTATATGCAAAATAAAGTATACACAAAATTTCTAAAAAGCCAGTCTTTTGTCTTTACAAATAATGTTTGCTCAAGGCTGCAGTAGTAGTGGTGGTAGTATTTTTTTTTTCTTTAACAAAAATTTCAAACGTAGTTTTATGCACCACGGCCGCAGCCTTCATAGTTGTTGATACTTTCTGCAATGTGGCATTATTATTCTTCTTAATTGACGTCATTACTTCCCTTCGCAGATTCATACCGGTTGAAGCGCGTGGCTGCTCCACTTGATCTTGTCAGTGAAATAGAGATCTTTCTCTGCTTCCATCGACAGGTGCGGCATTAAATATTGGATCAGGAAAATAGGATCACGCCTCGGATATCCCACCAAATGCACAGCAGTACCTTCATCGAATGCAATCCACCTTTCGACATCGGTTCCGCCCCTTCGTGTGCCTGTTTCCCAGTTCTTTTGCGTTGAACATTGTCGTACAGGATCTATTTTTCATCACCAGTCACGAGCCGATCCAAAAAAGGTTCGTTTTTGATCCGTCGAAGCAAAGAAATTGCTGTTGACATACGGTCCACTTTGTTTTTTTCACTCAACTGATGTGGCACCCATGTATCGAGCTTCAAAGTGTACCCAACCTTTTTTAAACGACGAAACGCAGTTGATTTGTTGACGTTCAATTCACTGGCAACCTCTTCCGTCGAAATACGTGAGTTATTCGCAACTAAAGTCCTTAGAACATCGTCATCAAGCTCAGAAGGCCGTCCACTGCGAGGTTGATCTTCGAGGTTAAAATCTCCAGAACGAAATTTCGCGAACCATTTCTTTACTGTGCGGAGTGCTGGAGCACGGTCCAAATAAACTTCGCGAATATCTTTAGTTGCAGCGCCTACTGTTTTTCCTTTGCGGAATTCGTATAACATAATATGACGCATATGATCTTTTTCGTTGTCCATCTTCCATGCGTCTTTTCACTAAGCAACTCAAATCAAAATGAAGTTATTTTATGCTTGATTTACAGTTCGGACTGTCACCTTTCCAACGATATATAATATGTATATATTTCTTTCACGAGCGCCACTCTCAAACGATTCGAACGGCATCCAGCGGAATCGGGCACGAACTTATGCACTCATCCAGTACTTCCAAGGATGGCGTGCTATCATATATCCATAGATCAGATGGTCCACCTATCCAGCGTTGCTATCGCGGTATGTCTCATGCAGCTCATTGTTCTACGGTCTGAGGGTGGGTAACGTTGTTGTTGTTGTTGTAGCGGTTTACTAACACCGCTTAGGCACAGGTTTGATCAGTCGTAGTCGGCGAGGTCATCTAGTGGTAGGTCCAGGAAACGAGCTGTTTCGACGGGGTTGGACCAAAGGGAGAGGAGGGTTAGATAGATTAGTGGGTTTGAGGAGCATGTGAAGAGGTGGTTAGTGTCGTGCGGAGACTCTCCGAGGGTGGGTTAGATATCCTCCTACTTTATACCGAAATCTCCTAGTGTCGACTCACCGAATGTTGCCACCGTCCAAGCCTCTCCATTATGGTATATAGATAGTATAGCGACTTAAAGTTTAAGCCCTTTTTCGTCGAGAGTGGGTTTTATGTTCTGCAGCTCGTATTACTTTCTCCAAGGTTCCGTTGAAGTAGTAACGCAATGAAGAGCTAAAAAGCTTGTTTGGTATCGAAGAGCTCGGAGTGGTTCTTTCCATTGCTTATAGAACTTTTGCTATTGCTGGGAATAGTAATTTCAGTTATAGCAGTAAAATCAGCATAATTTCGTCGTGCTTCATGTATGAAGCTCTGCTGATGGACAATATCATATTGAGCGAACTTTTTCCTCGATAATTTAGAGTTAAGAAAGAGCATATGAATCCAAACGTAATCAGTTGACGAGAAAGGTGGGCTCACCATCATCATCACCATGTGTTCTTCATCACTGCCTTTTTTGGCTGGATGAATGTTCCCTCAATGAGCTCCGCACGTCGGTATATAGACAACCATCTCGTTCTTACATATGTAAGTATGCTTGAGGATGAAAGCTAAAAGCCTGCCGCATCTTCACATACACATTTGGAGCATTAACAGTATCGGCCGCTTATTTTTGCTTCCCACTTTACCTCGGAATTTCTCCGAGTTGTGTGCGCTGCGCTAGATCGCAGGGTTGAGAAATAAGCGTTAACTTTTCTACACTATGGCTCCCTACCAAGCCAGTACTTCCTTCGACATTGCCGAAAACCTGTTTCTTTAGCAGTGATTCGTAGGAGGCTTGGAAACCCATAGCATAGTTCCCTCATTTCGGGTTGTTGACGAATGCTTTCAGTGAGCAGAAGAGCAAGTCGAGCAGGAAGCTGCTTGACTTTCTGCTGTAATTACAGCTGTCAGCGTCCAAACTTTTTTTGCTTGCTGAGAAGCCTTGAAAATGTTCCAAGTGGTTCGGAGCAATGAAAATTGTCCAAGTCGTTGCTAGCTCGTCGGAGAGTACACACATCGAAAACTCTGAAGATATGTCTTCCATAGTGTCATAATATCTGAATTTTGGCTGTGAAATTTTTGATACGCAGGCAAACATATAGGTTGATTTTTATATCTTGTGCTGGAATCTGATGCTACAGACAACCATATTTCGGCCTTCTCAAAGTCGATCATCCCGGGTTGTTTTGACATGTTATTGAATTTTCTGTTGTGACCAAGATACGCAGCATCTTTTCCTACCCTGGCATTAGAAACGTCTTGGCACTATTTTGACATCGGTCATGAGTACATTCTATGCGCTCAGAGAAGGCATCTGTATTCACATCGTCTTTGTTTTCCTTGACCATGGCTCTATATTTTATCCGCCACCAAGTTGAATAACAGAACTCGGCGGTTGAGATTATCAGTTTCTCTCCCATCCAGAAACGGACATCGAATTTACGCTCCATTATGTGGCCGCCGTAGTAAATTTCACAAATTCACCGGCAAATTGATAACATTCGGCGACAGAGTTTCTCTCCCACCAGACGTCTCGTTCATCCCATCGCCTTGACGGCTGTTATTTAAGCTCCTAAAGTTTTGAGGACTTAAACCAGCAGTACAGCTAGCTCCAATTAAGGAACATTCCCTAAAATTGTAGCACCTAGCAAATTTGTCGTGGTCGTGATCTCAATTGAACTAGTGAGCTGTTTGCTTCAGGGCCGACGCTCCTCGCAGACTTCGGTTCTAATGAAATACACTGAAATTAGTATTGGGTAATGCCTTAAACCGAAAACGTCCTAGCTTCCTCTCTTTTAGCTGTACACAAAAGCTTTATACGGGTTGTTTATAGGCTCTCCATAAATTACGTATGTGGTTATGCTCTAGATTTCAAATGCTCGCTACTTGCTTTATTGTACTTAATTTAAATATAGATAAGTTGTAACAATTTACGGAGAGGACTGGGTACTCTACTACCTCTACTCGGCTCCCCGAAGGCGATGTTATTTTATAATAAATGTAATCGGCGATGGGTTGAGTATGACTAGACTGCGAAGACACCCGATTTATACAATGGTGCCAGTATTACTTCTGTGATCTGGATATTGTTGTCGATTTATATCCTATTTATCCCGAGTTACTCCCGAAATACTCATGTCCTGCGAGCAATGAGAGCCCTCACGACCCTAACGACCCCTTTGCGTAGCCCCTAAAACCAGCTTATCAACAACACACTTTTCCCTCTGGCCCGAAAGAGTCCGTTTCCTGGACCTACCGTTAAAACATCCGAGATTAGCAAGCCGCTACAATAACAACCAATACTAAAACTTTAAAGGCATTCTGTTAGTGGTACTGCAAAAGCAAGTTACAATACATTGAAACCGGAAGAGCTTTTTACACATCAATATTCATTTCATGTATTGCAAAAGTGAGAACTATTACTTGAATGTCAGGATATGCTTCTTCTTCTTCCTTAGCATAGGCAAAGTGTACGCGGTTATAGCCGAATCAACTATAACACGACAGTCGTTTCTTCTCTGAAGTCAGGTTGCTCTTCGAATTATTTTTCCAACTGAGTGAAGGTCTTCCACTTTCACTGCTTCCACCAGCATTCTACCACTTACTCAGCTTTTGGGGTAAAGCTGGAGTGTTGTCATTCATACGTACGACATGGCCTAGCTAGCGTAGCCGCACTCTCCTCTCCATTGACTAAGTCACCGTATAAGTCGTACAACGTTCGGTCGTCTGCGATTTTGGCCGTTGCCAATGCGGAAAGGAACCACTTTGAGTGGATGTTAAAAGCTCTCACTGCTCAGTAAGAATGAATTAGGCAGTAACGAACTGTCAAAAATGCGGTCCTCGGTAAAAATCCTACTGGCTCTTGGGCTCACCGAAACCGCGCTTTTCTGTAAAATTCAGTAACAATTATTACTGCCGAGTGCATCATTTTTGGACTCATTTACGATTTATGACTTTTCTAATATCGTTCAACCTCTAGCTGTTTTTCCGCTTGGAAAAGTATATAAAAATATGGTCAAGTAAAAAGTTCGTTCGTTTTTTTTATCTAAGAGATGGCGTTATTGTCCACAGTACTAGCGTTACGGGTCGCATCATGTCATACAATACGGCGCTGAAAACGTGTTTATTCACGCTAAAAGTTTGTCTTTGACAGTTGCTTGATTGATTGACTCAGTACGTTGGGGGCGCTCGTCAAAGATGGACACCAGCAAAGAGAAGTTTTGCTATATTTTAAGATTTTTCTTCGATCAAGGCGAAAAAGCAGCCAAAGCGGCTGAAAAAAAAATTTAGTTTATGGGCCCGATACTGTAAACGAACGTGTAGCACAAAAGTGGTTTGCTAGGTTCCGTTCCGGTAATTTCGATGTCAAAGATCCACCACGCGTCGGGAGGCCTGTCTTCGAAAATTGCGATAAAAATCATGGAAATCGTGGAAACAGACCGACACGTGTGCACTTATTTAATTGCTGATGAACTAAAGATAAGCCAGAAAACCGTTTGGAACCATTTGCATAACCTTGGCTTCAAAAAGAAGCTCGATGTTCGGGCGCAAAACACGAACTAACGCAAAAAAAACATGATGGAACGAATTCCTACCTGCGAATAGCTGCTGAAACGCAGCAAAATCGACCCGTTGCTGAAGCGTATTGTGACTGGCGATGAAAAATGGGTCACTTACAACAACATCGAGCGCAAACAGTCGTGGTCAAAGCTCGGGGAAGCGGCCCAGACTGTGGCCAAGTCCGGATTTGACAGCCGGAAAGGTTTTGCTGTGTGTTTGGTGGGATTGGCAAGGAATTATCTAGTACGAGTTGTTTCCCTATAGCCAAACGCTCAATTCCCGCTCGGCGGCGCTCTACTGCCAACAAATGGACCGCTCGAAGGCAGCTCTCATTCAGAAGAGGCCATCTTTGATCAACAGAGGCCAAACTGTGTTCCAGCAGAACAACGCCACGCCACACACGTCTTTGGTGGCGCGCCAGATGCTCAGTTGGGAGTTCCTAATGCACTCCCCTTATAGTCCAGACCTGGCACCAAGTGATTACCATCTATTTCTGTACATGTCGAACGCGCTTAATGGTGAGAAGTTGGCCACAAGAGAAACCTGTGAAAATTGGCTTTCCGAGTTTTTTGCCAATAGCAACGCGGCCTTCTACGAGAGGGTTTACGAGCAAAAAGGAGGCATATTTGACTAAATCGAAAAAATGTACACAAAGTACAATAAAAAAAAACCGAACAAACTTTTTACTTGACTAATATATAAAAACAACTATTTAAAATGTATGTTCTAATTAAGTTCTTTTATTTATTCATTGTTTAAATTTCGGTTTTAAATCACATGCGGTACAACAATGCGACTATAATTGAATCAAACGAAAAATCAAAACTATTTAAAAAAAAAAATTTATATGTTACGTTATCTATGCGATTGTGATACTTAACATTATGTAGTATTTGTTGAAATTATTTTTAAAATTATTGGGTTATGTAGTTTCTTTTGGACATATCTAATTACAGTTGTATGTATGTATGTCAAATTGTGGCTTTGGGTTGGTTTTTTTTAATGTTTTCTTCTTATAAACTTACATTTAAACTATATACACGTATGTATGTATGTATATATATACACTAAATCAGTTGGCTATAGTTATATATAATAGTATGTATGTAATATGTGTTCATATGCATATGGGTAGAATGAAATTAAAGCTACAATAAAACTTCTTACTATTTAATATACATATATAAATACAAAATAATTATGCAGTTTCTCTAATTCATTATACACATTGGATTTCATATACTAATCATTAAGATTCTAATTAATTAATTTATTAATTTACATCACCCACTTGTTGTTTATGTATAAGACTAAAGATCGTTATGTTTCTAATGTATGTATTTACGCATGAAAATGCAGTATTGATAAATTTTAGATTTTTTGAGAGAGTTGAAACTATTTACCTTTATGAATTCCAATTTGGAATTATTAAATAAGAGTACTCCGAATCGGGTGTGCTTAAATAAGTCTATGACTATTTAACTTTTTACAGATTTATAAATATTATGTGTGTTTTTTTTTTAATTTAAAATAACTTATTCATATATTTTTTACATCCACTTATTCAATAATTTCGGCTTGATCTTAGCGTTTGTAACATTATAGTAACTATAGACATATGACGAGAAGGTATGATCATAACACAGTACAAAAATGATAGCAGTTGCTAGGTGCTTGTGATACAATTGGCAGCGCTTACGATTGCGGTCGACGGTCGTAGTCGCCTCGCCGGTAATCGGGCGGGAAATCCATTCGACTTTCACGTGGCCAATCGCCAGATGACGCATAACGCGGATCGCCGCGGTATGGACCATGTGGCGGTGGCGCTGCGCCCGGTGGCAAACTACCATTGCCCATGTAATAATTGGGTGGCATGTGATAACCGGCATATGGCAGGGGAGGCGGCGCATGTGGCGGAGGGTAGCTGTAATGAAAAATAAACAACAACAAAAAAATATAATTTTATAAATATTGTTTTTTTATGGTTTATTGAAAATAAATATATGCTAATAACAGTATTTTTTTTAGACGTGGGGTTTTCAATGAGGCAATATTTTTTTCGGAGTTCGTTGTTGTTATTGTTGTAACCGCAATAAAATATTGCCCAAAGTAATTTTTGGAGAATGTTGCTCGAGTGACAGTGCTTGGCCGGATAAAATCTGGGCGTTCCGGTATGAAGACCCAACTATCGCGCGAACTATTGGATTTTAATCGTCTCTTACGACAGGCATGTTGTTGTTGTAACCGCAAAATTAATCCCCAAAGTACTTTTTGGCGAATTTTGCGGGAGTGACAGTCCTTGGCCGGATAAAAATCCGGGTTGTTCCGGTATAAAGACCCGACTGTCGCGGGAACTATTGGATTTTAGTCGCCTCTTACGACAGGCATGCCTTACCGCGGGTAAATTCTTGAGCCCCTAACCCGCAGGGGGTCTTACGACAGGCATGCTTTACCTCGGGTAAATTCTTGAATACCTTACCCGCAGGGGCTTTTGGTGTTCGTCTTTTTGACAGCTGTTGACATGATTTATTCTCAGCTTGGTTTGTCATTTCATAAAGAAAAGGCTTACTCAGAAACCGAGTTAATAAATCGTGCAAATTTATTATGAAAATAACATTTCTGTCGGTCGACATAATTTCCCAGCAGTGTCGACAATTTGCGCAACCATGGATGGGTTTCGATTCCACTTTAGTCTGATGGGTAATCAGCATCCTAAGATAGAACTTACAGTGCGTACCAAAAATGCTAGTGGTGCTATGGAGCGTGGAGCAGAGTATCTAAACCGTCCGCGAGCAACAATTGGAGCTGTGCTCATCCAATTAATGGAAAAATTTGAGGAAGGATATTGGGATACAAAACACACCATGGGCAAGAATTGAAGCGGGTCGTGGGGCTGTGGCGTGGCCTCCATGATTATGAGATTTAAAACCATTCAACTTTTTCTGTTTCTGACGATTGAAGCTTTGGCAAGAAATATTCAACGCGTTATTGCTTATATTCGTAATCTTGCCTGGAATTTACTCGAGCCAGGTGCGGCAAATTCTTGATCTTCAAAATAAATCTAGATTCTTGGCCATAACATGAAATTATAAGCATTTTACATTTTATCGCCTCATACAGACCAAATGTCTAAAAAAAAAAAAAATTTACGCCATAAATTTAACTTACCGTCTCTTATCAGGTCTTCGATCCCTATCACGGTCGCGATGATCACGATGGTAACCACCGCCACCACCACTACCGCTACTACCTCGGCCACCATAACTGTCGTAACGATCACGCTTGTAATCCGAGTTGCCGTAACTAAAATTTCCGAAAAAAAAGTAATAAAGAATTAACTCACTTTTCAGCGGCAGTTTTAAGCAAAGCACGTGTCTTACCGATCTCGACCGTGTCCCGCCCAACGCTCGTTACCATCCATGTACGGAGAAGATATATTACGCGTGTCATTCGCAGCACCGCCCGGGGTATTGTAGCCTCCACTTCCGGTTACTGGCGCACCGGCCGCATTAGACGACAGACGAGGGTTACCACCATGCATACCGCGGTTGTTAGGTGTTGATGGTGAAGTATTCATAGAACTTCGACGATCACTATTGCCGCCAGGCGGCAAACCACCGCTTGGACGATTTGCACCGCGCTCTTCGTTCCGTTCTCTGTTTCTGTATACAAGAAAAATGGTAACATATGTATAAGTCGACAAATTCATTAAGATTTGTAGTGATAAAGAAAAATTATTTAAACACATTACAGTAAATACAACCAATATGTGATTTGGTTGACTTAAGACCTCAAGATTAAACGGCTTGATAACATTTATACTGTTATTTTACAGCGAGATGTTTCATTACTAGCGACGCTATGTTGGAACTCTCTTTTGGACTACTATGAGAGCTTTCACCACCTTTAGGTTCATAAATTATGCACACTTTTCTGCGCAATAAAGGAAAATATTGGGTTACCCAAAAAGTAATTGCGTATTTTTCATATAGTCGGCGTTGACAAATTTGCTTTAGAAAAAAAGTGCGCGAAATTTTGTTAACATTTGTTTGTTTGGCGTCAATTTTAATATGGAGCCCACAAAGGAGCATTTTCGCCATATTTTACTTTATTATTTCCGTAAAGGAAAAAACGCGGAGCTGGTTGCTAAAAAGTTACGAGATGTGTATGGAAAAAAAGGAAGACAGTGTCAAAATTGGTTTCGCAAATTCCGTTCTGGAGATTTTTCACTTAAAGATGAGCCACGTTCAGGTCGGCCAAATGAAGTTGATGATGACCAAATCAAAGCATTAATCGAATTGGATCGTCATGTAACTGAGCGTGAGATAGGAGAGAAGTTAAATATACCAAAATCAACCGTTCATTATCACATAAAAAGTCTTGGACTGGTGAAAAAGCTTGATATTTGGGTACCACATGTATTGAAAGAAATTCATTTAACACACCGAATCAACGCTTGTGATATGCACCTTAAACGCAATGAATTCGATCCGTTTTTAAAACGAATCATAACTGGAGATGAAAAATGGATTGTTTACAACAACGTTAGTCGAAAACGATCATGGTCCAAGCATGGTGAACCAGCTCAAACCACTTCAAAGGCTGATATCCACCAAAAGAAGGTTATGCTGTCTGTTTGGTGGGATTGGAAGGGTGTCGTATATTTTGAGCTGCTTCCAAGGAACCAAACGATTAATTCGGATGTTTACTGTCAACAATTGGACAAATTGAATACAGCCATCAAGGAGAAGCGACCAGAATTGGTCAATCGTAAAGGTGTCATATTCCACCAGGACAACGCTAGACCGCACACATCTTTGGTCACTCGCCAAAAACTGAGTGAGCTTGGCTGGGAACTTTTGATGCATCCACCATATAGCCCTGACCTTGCACCATCAGACTACCATTTATTTCGATCTTTGCAGAACTCCTTAAATGGTAAAACTTTCGGCAATGATGAGGCTATAAAATCGCACTTGGTTCAGTTTTTTGCAGATAAAGGCCAGAAGTTCTATGAGCGTGGAATACTAAATTTGCCAGGAAGATGGCAAAAGGTTATCGAACAAAATGGCAATTATATATTTGATTAAAGTTCATTCTAAGTTTTATTAAAAATGCATTTACTTTCTTTTAAAAAATCCGCAATAACTTTTTGGGCAACCCAAGCAATGCGCTGATTACCGTAGATCGTAGGTGAAGCTTTACTTCAAACTGATTAGCATTTATACTGATCTCAAACTGGATTGCTAACTCTTTTTTTATTTTTTATTTCTTTGGCTACCTATCCTATCACTTTTTTCTCATATACGATCATCTTACCTGTTTATACCCATATTTTGACGTTTGTTGTAGGACATGCCTTTGCCATCAACAGCGCCGACATCATTTTCGTCTCGCTTCCGCTTAACCGGTGAATCAATAGTTGGTATGCGTTTTGATTTGTCCGCACTTGCAGTACCTACGCCGGCTTGTTTGTCCGCTTTTTTATCACGACTCTTATCCTTATCTTTAGCCTTATCTTTATCTTTCTCTTTGTCTTTCTTCTTCTTCTTCTTGGTCTCAATGCCCCCAGCTACGCCATTCTCTTGCTGCATTACAGCATCGTTACGCGTACGTTTTTTAGGTGATTGAGAATTCGCTTTGGCACTCTTCTCCTTCGCACTTGCACCACCACTTGCAACACTGCTTGCGCCAGCCTCTTCTACACTTTTCAGTGTGTGTTTGTAAAGTTTGAAAAGTTTTTTCGCATCGAATTCGGTAAATTTCGACACGAAATACCACAAATTGCTACGCCATTCTTTCTTTTCGGGCTCCTTGTATGCCTCCAAGCAAACATCGATTTGACGACCAATCGATAGCAGGCATTCCCGTGTGTGTCGCACCTGCTCTTGACTGGAGAGCGTGGTGTCGGGTCGGTCGAGTGCAATTAATGCCTTCTTAACTGGACGCATTTTCTCTTTGCATTCATTAAAAACATTCGGATCCAAATCACCGAGCACTTCCAGCGCACGTGGCTCATTGTTTGCTGTAAAATGCATGGGTTTATTATTCGCTGTCGATTCGGATGCACTGGTTTTCTTTGTGCGACTGGCAGTTTTACCATCCTTTCCAGCTGTGCTACGTTTTGATTTCTTCTTCGTAGCTGACGCTGGGGCAGTATCTGCAGACTCTGCAACAGTCGCTGCCGCATCGTTTTCCACGGTTTCACTCTTTGATGTACTATCGCGTGCACGCGGCTTACGTTCAACACCTTCGTGCGCTGATTGTGATGCGTCGTCACCAAGATGCGACTCGGATATGTGTCTTGGCTTGCGTTCAGGCGTTACCGGTACAGTGGCAGAGCCGGCACCATTGCCGCTGACTTTAGCTTCCCTTGGCTTACGCGGTTTACGTTGCTTACGTTGCACACCCTTCTTAAGTTCAACATTCTTTTTAATAATTTTCAGCAGATATTCCGCTCTAGATTGCAAGTGCTTAGCTTGCGGCTTGCGCGCATCGTTGAAAAGTATCTTCTCGGTCAGTTTCAAACTTGGATCCATTTTCATTTGTTCCCATGAACCGATGCCATACTGATAAATGCCACATAATAACTTGGAGTCCTCTTCGACACTCCAATCTGTGTCGAAATTCGCAGGTCTAGTTTTGATATTTAACTGCCAACTGTAGCGTTCACTGGACGCACTCGGCACGATATCGTTTAGCGGTTTTAGTTCCTCTTCGCAGGTTAACAATGTTTTTGCATTGAAGGAAACGCCACCTAATTTAACGGAATACGTTGCACGTGTGCGCCTCTGCTTTGCCGCAACAGTATCATCGGCTGGATTTTTTGGTACTACTGGCGGGTCATCCTTGTGTTCTTCGAGAAATTGCACACAACGATCATGCAACATTTCGCCGATTCTCTTTAGCTCTGCCAACGGTTTCTCCTGCAGCTCAGCATCACATGCGATCGCTTCAAGACGCTCAAGCGGCGCAGGGAATTTCTTATACGACTTAATAAACCGCCGGATTTCGGCATCAGTAAAACCGATGATTTTCTCTTTATTCGTCGGTCGGCCACGTTTCTTTGGTCGACCGTCCTCAGCGCTGGCATCCGAGCCCATATCATAGTCTGAGTCGGCACCGGACTCATCCTGAGGACCCTTCTTACCACCGCGTTTTGCAGGCATATTGGAGTCCTATGTGGTGGGGAAAATTATTGGTTTTGAGTAAAAAAAAAAAATTTTTGTATATTTTTATGATGTGTACTTAAATTATAAAATATTTAAATCAAGTTAGTTTAAAATAAATTAAATAACAACAGAAAGTTTAATTTTTAAAGTTAATAAGTTGTTCAAGAAAGAAAGAAAAAAAAAAAAAAAACTTCTAACACAAAACTTCTTTTTCTCATCTAAAAATTTATATTTAAGCTTAAAAAATATCTTTCGTTTATTCTCTTGGATAGAAGATACTTTAAGAAAAGAAAAATAAGTAGATTTCTTCAAATTTATTTTCTATGCATAAAAAAATAACAGTAATAAAACCAACCTGATTGGCCGTCGCGGTCTTTCTTCGTGGTGGTAAATACAAATCTTCCATTTCTTTAGCCCGCTCTTGATCTTCGACTTTCTTGCGAAAACCTTCGGGTATTATATCATCCCAGTCTTTGGTATCTTCCTCCTCACCACCACCACCCAGATTGTCATCATCTTTTGTCGTTTCACTGGGTTCCTCCTCAAAAGTAGCTATACTAGCGACTTTAAACGCTGACAACAGATCGTCACCAGGCATTTCCGGATCTTCATTGCGCGTTTCAGCACGACGCAAAATTTCATCGATGTCACATACCAATTCATCATCATTCTCCTGTTCATCTTTAAACAGTTCTTCGGCACCGAATTTCAAAATTTCCGATAAATCATCCTTGTTGAATGGTGTAGCATTCGATGAGCTTGCACCGCTTTTATCCAAAACCGTACGACCTGTTGTATCCATGCGTTGTATCACCAAATGATCGAGCACCATCTTCTGTTTCGCACGCTCCACAATTTGTTCCTCAACCGAACGCGCCGTCACCAAACGATAAATGTTCACTTGATTCTTTTGTCCAATTCGATGTGCACGCGCCTGCGCTTGTAAATCATTTTGTGGATTCCAATCGGAATCAAAGATAATAACCGTATCGGCCGTAGCCAAATTGATGCCCAAACCACCGGCACGCGTTGATAACAGGAAACAAAAGTCCTGGCTGCCTTCAGCATTGAAGTGATCCAAAGCTTGTCGACGCATTTCACCTTTGATGCTGCCGTCGAGACGTTGAAAGGAGAAATGCCGTTTTTGCAGATAATCAGCCAGCACGTCCAGCATGCGCACCATCTGCGAGAAAATCAACACCCGATGACCGGTCTCCTTCAGGCGACACAGCAACTTGTCGAGTAGCACCAATTTGCCGGAACCCTTCAGTAAAGTTTGCAACGCCTCCTCTTGCTGTAGCCCAAACAACTCGAATTCGGATGGCCGTATAAGTGATGCGTGATTACAACACTTCTTCAACTCGATAACTATATTCAAAAAAGTGGACGTTGAACCCTTCTTGCCTTTGCGTAAAGCATCGAAGTTTTTCGTCAAAATCCACTTGTAGTATTGCTTTTGCATTAACGTCATCTCAACACGTAAGATTTGTTCGACTTTCGCCGGCAGGGACTTCTCTACGTCTTTCTTCACGCGACGTAAAATATATGGTTCGAGCTGTTGATGTAATTTGGTATAACCCTTATCAGCAGCATTTCCATGTTGCAATTCAAATTCTTCCCAGGTAAGAAACCGATCGGGCATAATGAAGTGCAACAAAGCCCATAATTCTTTGAGAGAATTTTGCAGTGGTGTGCCTGTGATCAAGAGACGATGATTCGTTTCGAATTCTTTTAAAGATTTATACAAGAGAGAATCATCATTTTTGAGGCGATGCGCCTCGTCCACCAGCAGAGCAGCCCACTGTAAGGTGCCGAGGAACAACTTATCCTATTGGCAAGAAATGGAAATAAAATAAAAAAGTATGACGATGATAATTACAAGCTAAAATTATGTTTCAGTACAAATAATTATTAGTATTTATTCTGTAAGTATTTTCTTAAGACTTCTTTTTAACATTCTATACCGAAAAAGGATATTATAAATATTCAAAATTATCCCAAGTCTCATATTCATCAGAAAAAGTTATAGAACTCTATGTCGGCTATGCGTGGTGGAGGATTCCGATAAAGATATTCACGGTAAAAAGAATTAATACGGTTGTTTATGGTCTCCCTAAATTTGAATAACTCCTTGTTGTTGTAGCAACGAATTTATTGCAACTCTGTACTTTGGTGAACCTCGCCGCCTTATCCGGAGTTCAGGGTTTCGACTACCCTCAAACTAACTTAAAGAGTCCGAGGTTTTAATTTATTACTTATGGTATTCAGTTCGTGCCCGAACACCACCAACTGGCTGACGTCGGGGATCGACATGGATCTCGCTAGTTTTAATTATAAATGTCGTGCAGTAAAAAAGTGGAAAAGGTACCGAGCAGTCAGCGGCATATGAGAACATGGAGACATCCTACGGTGCGGCCGAGGGCTACATAATTAGAAAACTTAACAATAGATAAATAGTTGTATACTTCTTTAATTGATGGCAGCCAACCATAACTGACGGTAATCCCTGCGTAATCCCCAACGTACGAAAATAGCATTGTTTGCTTAACTGTATTAAGGGGGGGAAGCTGGTCTAGAGCGCATAAAAATTGACATATTTTATGAATTTATTTTGACTTAACAAAGGAATCAATCCAAAATCTGTGAAGGGGGATTTAATAATATAGGTTTCATGGTACAAATACAAAATTTTTCGTGTGAATTAATTTCAAAATGGCCACTGTCCAGCAAAAAAAAATCCTACGTACGTCTTCGGAGAACGGTATTTCGAATGTAATGTCAAAATTTCGTAAGAATCGGTGATTTGTTCGTGTTATGTTGTTGTTGTTTCAAGCGCAAAATTATTCCCCAAAGTACTTTTTGGGGAATGTTGCGGGAGTGACAATCCTTGGCCGGATAAAAATCCGGGTCGTTCCGGTATAAAGACCTGACTGTCGCGGGAACCATTGGATTTTAGTCGCCTTTTACGACAGACATGCCTTACCGCGGGTAAATTCTTGAGCCCTTAACCCGCAGGGGGTTTTGTTCGAGTTGTGTTTTCGGCCAGTTTAAAAAAGTGATTTCGAGAAAAACGCGTTTAAAGTTGTAGGTCGCTCAGGGCACTGCTGTCAAATGAAAAATTTGGGCATTTAGACATTTTTGCCGGCATCCACCTTTTGGTATGTTATTTCTAAAACCCAAAAGCACCTTTTAAGACAAAAATTTTTTTTTTCGATTTTTCCAAAATTCTAGACCAGCTTCCCCGCCCTTAAATTCTCTAAGGGAGCATCTAAGTAGCTAAACAATTTACCCTCAAGGGTTCCTTTTCATATATGTATGTATTTATGTTTTCCATTTTCACCTACCTTAAGCACAATCTCATATGTTGTAAGAATGCAGTTAAATTTCAGTCTTTTGGAGCCATCAAATTGCCATTCATATTGGCGTAGCATTTCACGAGATTTCACATCACCCAAATATGTCACCACATTCATTTCGGGCGCCCAGAGATCAAATTCACGTTGCCACGCTGTCATTGTACTTAGCGGCACGACACACAGAAATGGCCCATACAAGTGGTGAACTTTGAATAATGAATACAGAAAACAAATGGTTTGTATGGTTTTACCAAGACCCATTTCATCGGCAAGTATTACGGAATTCTCTTTACACCATGAGTGCAATAACCAATTGAGACCATCCATTTGGTAATCACGCAAAGTCAAACCATCTGATAGGAAATCAGGTTGCTCGCGTATTTTATAGAATTTCGGACGATACTTAAGAACCTTACAATGTCGCGTTGGCGTGCATTTGGATATTTCGCGCTCTTCATATTGCTCAACACAACGTTGCCATTTACGTTGTACTAATGCGCCATCTTCCCATGTAGCCTCGGCATATGGCAAGGATTGCCACTTGCATAAGTATTCCGAAGTGCCATCTGGCTTTTCATTGCGTGCTATAATGCGATCAACATTGTTGTAAGATTTCAACAAATCGTTTTGTAACTCTAACTGGCACTCAAAGTAATCGATATCTTCTGGGCCAGCATAGCGCCGCCAATATTCTATATCTTGTTCTTTCTTAACAAAATTATCCAACTTTTTCATTCCTTTAACTTTTTGCTCACGTAAAGTAGTCTCTGACTCCCAAGTATTGTGTATATACGACCAACCCTTCCATTTGATTAAATACTGTGTTTCAGTATTCTCTAAATCGTTCTCATCGACGCCATCATTGGGATCTACGCCACTATCTTCAATGGCATAGATTGTGGTTTGATTTCCTGTACAACCTTTGCGGCCCTGGCGTTTCGCCAATATACGTTCGATGGTCTCACACTTCTCCTCCTCCTCTGCAGCCGCTGCTTGACTCTCGTCATACTCGACTTCTAAGAGATCTTCCGAATCTGTTTTATCATCTTCAGAAGCCTCTTTGTAGCTAACGGCTGCCGCAGCACGTCGTGTACCAAACCTATTGGGTGGAAACAAAAAAAATTGAAATGCAAACACACACTATATAAATAAACATATTTCTCATAATGAATTTTTTTTTTTTATATAAAAGTTGAATTTTACCTTTTACTGTCCTCTCCGTCGTCACTCTCGTCGCTGGAATTGGAAGACTTTTTCACGCGTCGCTGTGTTGCCTTCCCAGCCTTTGTGTTCGCTTTGCGTCTCTTCGGCGCTGATATATCGCTGTCCGCATCACTTTCATCACTTTCGTCTGTAACCCAACTAAACACAAATAAAATTTGGTCTTAAAATATAGTCATTTGTCTCCCATTACAAGACTGTGTCTAATTACTTTTGCTTTTTCCGCTTTTTTACGGGTTTCTTTGAGCTTTTCTCACTTGATGGCATAACCTGTGGCTTTCTTGCTGTACGCGTACTGCGTTTTGGCTGGTAATCATCTTCATCGTCCTCGCTACTACTACTACTGCTGGCAGTCGGTGACTCTGCTGCGGATGAATCAGAACTCTTTTCGCCAGATTCAGCGGAATCCGAGCCTTCAGCATCGTCATCATCATCGTCATCGTTACCATCTTCAACATTATGCTCACTTTCAGCGCTATGTTTAGGCAAAGCATTTGTTTGAGCTACTATCTTCGATGATGCCCTGGCTTTTGCCATTTTATCGGCTATACCCGTAACGCCATCGTCATCACCGCAGCTTCCGTCTTCTTCTTGTGAGTCTTCATTACCGTCATTTGTCGTATTTGAGGTATTATTATCTGTTGTGGTCGTGGTTGTGGTGGTATTAGCTGTTGTTGCCGATGTGTTGTTAGTAGCATTGTGTGCAACATCTTCTTCGTGATTTTCGTCATCCTCGTCTTCATTGCTGTCCGAATTGGTGTCGGAATTCGAATCGCTGTCGGATTCGTTGTCATCAGAGTAACCATTAGTTTTGGTATCCTCTTGCGCTGCGGCAGCTGTGGGTGGAAAACCGGACACTGCTGATCCACTTTCAGTTGCTGCTTTTGTTTGTTGTTGGTTATGCCCATCCTGCGCATTATCACCGCTCTCATAGCTTCGGTCACTAGCGTGCGAAGCGCGATCAGGCGAACTATGTCTCCGGCTAGAGTTAGAAGATGATGTTGAACTGTCTGAATCAGAATCAGAGCCTGATGAGCTATCGCTACCGCTGCCAGATGCGTTCTGTTCATCAAGGGGTCCGTCATTATCTTCCGATCCTATGCTCTTGATGGATTCATTGTGTTCCTGAAATACCATACAATATGCTAACAAATTAATCGGGTGACATGGGTTTGAAATATAAGTACATACATATATGTTTATATACAACATATATGTAAAAAATGTATATCTGCAAGCGACAACTCAGAAATGTTTGGTGGCCAAAAATATATTTGGCATACAGAAATACTGAAATACGAAACTAGATCACATTTCAGTGCCACCGCAATAAAGAGCCAAACAGTTTTCTACTCGACTAGCACTCCTGCTCAGCACACTGAGCTTATGGCTCCCACCTACTTAAAACAACGAAAGTGAAAGACGCAGACATGACGGACCGGATAACCAATAGATGATCATATAGGAGACCTTCCAGACCAGTTGCCCGCTGAAGAACAAAGCAACAGGACAAGATAGCCTATCGCCCAAGAGAATGCATAATCATTGAAACCTAAGAATGCTCCGCACAATTCACGGAAAGGGAACCCACTCAGTCTGAGCCAATTCAATCGTGGAATAAGTATCGTAAATATCGACTCAAAGGTCGTATCGAACGTACTGTGCAATAGATGAGAGATCCCATTCCCATTAAATTTATTACCCTTATCAGAGTAAAACTATACACCCATATTACTTTCGGCTCTTTTTGAGGCAGTTGGCATTTATTCTCCAAAGATGTCAGGCCTCGAGACCGACGTCTTTTCCGCATCATAAATCCAATACCACATTTATGCTCCTTGCAGTAGATTTCACATAACCCACCTTCGTCTTCGTCCCTTCCATCACATCTTAAATTATCAAGAACATCAGTAGGCTGAGCAGCGGCACTTTCTCAATTGAGGAACCGAACATTCAACATGCATGCTTTCAAATCGTTTTCCTTTGAAGGTCTCTCGTCCGGCATTACTTAAATTTTTCATTAGGGTAGGCTTTTTATGTGGCGAGTACCAAACCCTACAGACAAACAATGGAGGCTTGCTTACTCATTTTAGCTCGCCTGCAAAAGGATGATTTTTGGCTACCTAGAGGATACCTGGCTTAAGTCTGGACAGCTCACGGCTTGTTTAACTAATTGTAAAAGAACCATTTTTGGGCACCTTCAAAAAAGTTATCTTTGACCATGTCAAGAATAATCAGGCGCTTAATAAGACTCAGGTCTAAGCCATCGAGATGATTCAACGAGAGGTCGAGGTCGGTTTTTTCGGATCGGACCACATAGAAAGAGGGGTTAGATGAGATTGTGTTAGGGGGCATGCAAAGTATGTACACACAGGACAAAAGTCGGATACGTCGGGATAAAGTCAAGATAAGTAGGAGGTAGCAGTTAAGTACACTTTGATATCCTGATCACAATTGTGCCAGCTTTACTCTGATCTCTCGAAACATTTCGAGCTCTTAGTCTGTAGCAGGGGGTGGTTGGATTCCGAGAACACATTTCAGAATATGTCCAGCCACATGAAGAAGGATCATGGAGTGGTCTTCGTGGCAATCAGCCCTTCAAGGAATGCGATATATTCGTACATTCGTAAACGAACCGAAGTAATGACATTTGTAATGCAATAGAACCGCTAAATTTAAACTCAAAGATCACTTTTAGGCAATATTACAAAAAAAGATTTATTCAGATAAATGAATTATGGGAGCGAGTCCTAATACCATAGCTAAATATTGTATAAATCCAAACATTTTGAAAATTTTTAATCGTATGCCAGACAGGATTAAAGCAGTAAGTCTCGGGCCGGACATATAAAATATTTTTCACGATCATATACTCTCTCCGATAGTTTATGAATGCTATTAGGCGACTAGTCATGGGCTACCCAATTGTTGCTTAAATATAAATCACAACATTTCGAAGCTTTGCGATAGGCAAACAATCACTTCCAAGATCTTGGGTCTTTAAAAAAATTGTTCACCATGTTTGACGAAAGTCTTTGATCACAATCCAGTCCGGGTCCATTTAACCCACGGTTACGACATATTTTCGTAGTTTGTTTTGGCAGATTTCTTTCGTCACTATTTCTTTCACTTCAATGATCTTATGCTAAATATTTTTCCCCCACTCGTTCTTCCCCAAACCATAAGCGAACCACAATGCGCTGTGCAAACAGATATTCAAGATCGGGCCATGTATTTGGCATCTTGAGCCATTATATACATTAAGTGCCTTCAGGTTTTTCATTTTTCTTATTTCCTTAACCATTGCTTAAATAACTCATAATACGTAATTGCCTTCAAAAATCATATCTTCATATCTTTTATTGGATATTTCAGCATTATTCTAGCTACAGTTTCACATTCTACTAGCAGGGGTACTAACTACTTGAGCTCCTTATACCCATACTAATTTATTTTGAACTTCTCTCTTGATCTTAATTCCTATCAATGGAAAATGAGCTGCTCCTATTAACACTTTATCGATGACTCTAGGAATTAATTGAGCTTTAAATTAAGGATTAAGTTCCGGTTTTGCTTTATTAAATCTACCTTAACTTTGCATAAAGAGGCGAAGAACCTGTTTCCATGTAGAGAATTCCCTGCTATGAAAAGCTCGGATTGTGCAAAAATGTATCACACATTCATACCTATCGATATAATGGGTTAGGGACGGGGTCAGCTCTCCTGAATAAAGGATTATTTTTGATTGATTGAAGATACATCCTATTTTCATCATTCTGTGCGAGACCACAACTCAAATAATTACTATTTATATTTATTTCATTCACAATATTTGTATGTACCAGAAACACAGAATCTGTGGCAAGATCGGCCCAGAATGATCATTGATATTTCAAACACTTTACCAGGAAGCATTAGAGAAATTAATTATAAATTAATCAGTTTCGCAAATATTTTTAATACATATATCAATTTATTTTGTGCCATCTTGAAAAAATCCGACGATTTTGAATTAAAATATAGAGATTACAAAGTATACTGATCTAATAAAATATTGTTTCAAAGCTTTTGAATGAAACAAACCCCGTTATTTGATGGAAAATATGGCACAAATTGAAAAACTACATATTGATCGCAACAAAGGACATTCACTTCCTATAATTTGATCTTGGTTGGAGTAATAGTACTGTTTAAGACCGTCGGAATAAGAGTTTTTATTGCATATACTATAGAATCCATAACACTAATTTATAGAACTATACTTACCTTTTCAAATAATTAAAGAAAGAAAACTGATTGGCCAGTCTAACTAATGGTACTCATAATATATATTTTTTTTACTATCCATGCAATATTACAAATTTTAATGTTTATAATACCTTAAAATTATTTGTTTTAATATATATTTTACCACATCCATCTTTATTTCACAACACATTAAAGATCAGTTCACTTCTTTTCTATATTATATATATTTTGTTCTTTATTAATTTGATTTTAGAGTTACATTTCTTAATATATATTAAATTCCATGAATGAATTTTTAAAAACTACTTCAAAAAAGCGAAGATTCAATGAAAAACTCCAAAAATGAAATAATAGTAATAAATGCAATACAAATTAAATATTTTACAGGCAAACGCCTTATTAGAAGCTGGTAATCCTCTCGAGAAATGTGTACCTAACTTCTAATCTCTTAAGTAAATCTTACTGGCGTTTCGAAAAATCAAATGATTTGTAATAAAATACTATACATTAATATCTTAAATGGTTACCACCACTGCCATGCAACAATTTTGCATCGAAATGGACAAATCCTCACCAGAAACCGGCAAATATTGTCCTATTTGAGATTAAATCCATTTAGTTAGCCAGGTTTGTTAGAAATATCTCCACAGACTTGAAGAAAAGCCGAGGATTTACCAAAATTTTAAAAAAGCATGAACAACAAGGTAAAAATGTTTAAAGAAGTATTAATTGTTTTGAGTGACCACTAGAAAGGATGAATTAAAACACTATTTTTCTTTGAGGAGCCTAAAGCTAGTCATAGCAAAAAATTTTCACAGTTTTCAGATCGTTACGTAACATGTGGAAAATCTTAAAAACTTGAAATATACATGAAATAAACATTGTTTTATACAATTTTGATACCGATTTACTCGCAAATCCAATAGATTCCTCGAATTCAAACTAAAATAGCGAAAATGGGTCCCCAATGAAATTTCAAAATTTTGGTGTCATTGGATACGTGGATCTTTCTAGAATACGTAGAGATTAAAAAAATAGTGAAACAATCTCGTTTTATTTAAAAAATTGCATATTTATTAAAATACTCGCATCTCACAAGTCTTTTAAAGGCCTTATGTCAAAGGAGCCCTATTTGAGACTCCTTAAAATACACCTGAATTGCAGCCACGCCCAAAGCGGGGAGACATTTATTTTATTTCCAATATAATATTTACACTTTCTACTAACACAAATTAATAAAAATATCAAAATATTTACATTTAAAGACAGTCAAATATACAAATTTTGTGAACAACTATATTTTAATAGGCACTCACCTGGCTCATGATATTTTTGTGTCAGTAAGCACCTTTTTCTTATTGAAGTCATTAAACATACACTAATTTATTAAAATAAACTGATTTTCTTCAAAAAATTCACTTTAAATCTGAATATTGCAAATAGAAAATTTTTTCTCCAACGCAGCACAAAAATTCACGTCGTCCTCGTCTCCCATTCACAAGTCATTTGTCGAAAATCGCCATTTTGTCTTTTCGTACTTGAACTCAGTGTTGCCAATTTTTCGGTAGCAAATTTCGAACTTCGAAATTTCAACCCGGGTCGAAGGGAGAAATTTCGTAGCAACTCACGTCGATATATGGAGGTGCATACTGACGCAAATTTCCTCGTTCATGTGGGAATTTTTCCAATTTGCTACATTTATGTGACATCCACAGTTGATAAATATACACATTTCATTTAATTTGAAATTTAGGATGTGTTTTCTTTTCTCACTTTTTTAGTCCAATTTTTAGATTTTTCTCCTCCGTCAAAAGAAAGTTTCTTAATTCTCCAGCCACAATTGTCCCTTGTCGTCGTATACGAACAGCCATTTTGAAAATCGTTCGATACAGTACTTCGAAAATTATGGTTCAATGGAAAACACTTTATATCGCGAAAAAACAGGGTTGTAAAGATGTTCAGTCGCTGTAGATAAATTTTGTTATTACTTTTAAGAATTTACTACTTTGATTTTTATTTTAGCTTCAAATTTTCAAAACGATTTTATTTGACATTGTCGAAGGAAGATTTTAAATTCTTTATTAAAATGCAAAGGTTAAATTTATATTACCATTAAGATAATTATAGCAATACTTGTATGTCTAGCAAAAACGTTTACTATTGTAAAAGTAGTAATTAAGACACATTTACACACTATTTGACTTCCGCTAGGAATTTATACAATCCATTAAATTCACAAAATTTCGGGTGAGATATTGAAAAAGGTGAAAATGAAGTTGAACAAAATTGGAAAGAAAGAAATTAAAAATTATTTTGTTTCATTGACACCATTAAGTAACTTTTTCTTGTGTACGTACTTTTTTTTTGTAAGCCATCCTTCCACTATTTTCATCCTTCGGAGATCTTAAAATAGGCAACTCTGGTCTGAACTAACACCGGCTCCGCTTTATAAATGAAAAATAGTAAAATTTTAATTTCAAGTAAAAATCAAAATAGTTTATTTAAATTAGGTCTGAATTTTAAAAATACTTCAAAAGAACTAAAAGAAATTATTTTATATATCTGATATAAAAACAAAAACTGTCGAAAACTACAGTTTTTTTTCAAACCGCCTCCGAACGGCTGATGGATTTTTTTGTTATACGAAATATGCTGTTTCGAAGGATGATAAGAGATGAGGATTGTTGTTGTTGTTGTTGTAACCGCAAAAATATTCCCCAAAGTACTTTTTGGGGGAACGTTGCAGGAGTGACAGTTCTTGGCCGAATAAAAATCTGGGTCGTTCCGGTGTAAAAACCCAACTGTCGCGGGAACTATTGGATTTTAGTCGCCTCTTACGACAGGCATGCCTTACCGCGGGTAAATTTTCACATTATCAGATTAATTTTGGTAATAGCTGACAAAACGTGATTAATTTAAGAAAAAACATTTATCAAGATTCAAGAATCTGAAAACCAAAAATCGGCTATTTAAAGCTTAAAATTTGGTTCATGAGATATTCCCTGGAGGCGAATTCAGAATTTGACGTTATTCGCTTTACAGCTGATCATCACATTTCAATCGTATGGCAACAATGTAAAATAGCCGCGAAGTTGAAAAGTCATATCTGTTTAAAAAATGGTAAATATTTATTTAATTATGGTATTTATAACATATAATTCTAAAATTTTCATATTAAGCGACGGAGTTTGGCTCCTAGCCAAAATCGGGCTTTAAAATTACGCCCAAATTGTGACTTTACACCACCATTGCAAAACAAACGAATGCGTCAATGCCAAGAACGAAATGAAAATAATCCAAAACAAGGTCTACGCATAGTGCCGTTAAGTGAACATGAGTTGGCTATTGCACAAGTACTATCTCGGCCGTTTAAAGTGCCTATTGCTGACTATGTGCCCGATTATAATGGAGGTAACCGTTGCTTGGGGATGCGTCGGAGCAATGTGCGAAAGGCCTTACATGATCCACAAGCCTGTAATGCGTTAGTTTTATATACACCACCAAATTACACTGAACATGAACGTATCACAATGGATTCAAGCAAAATACAAGTACATGTGGTGGTGGACCCACTACTAAGCAACATCCTGAGGCCACATCAACGTGAAGGAGTCCGTTTTATGTATGAATGTGTCGAGGGACGTCGAGGTGCTTTCAACGGCTGTATTATGGCAGATGAAATGGGTTTGGGTAAAACTTTACAATGCGTTACTTTGGTATGGACATTACTGCGCCAAAGTCCAGACTGTAAACCAACTATATCTAAGGCAATTATTGTCTCGCCATCGTCTCTGGTAAAGAATTGGGAAAAAGAATTTCACAAATGGTTACATGGACGCCTGCATTGTCTTCCCATTGAAGGCGGTTCAAAGGAAGATACCATACGTGCTCTTGAACAGTTTGTCGTTGATAGTGGCCAACGCTGTGGTGCACCAGTGCTTTTGATAAGTTATGAAACATTTCGTATTTATGCCAATATATTGTGTAGAAATGAAATGGGCATAGTTATATGCGACGAGGGACATCGATTAAAGAATAGTGACAATTTGACTTATCAGGCATTAATGGGTTTAAAGACAAAACGACGAGTTCTACTTTCTGGCACACCAATACAAAACGATTTGACGGAATATTTCAGTTTGGTAAACTTTGTAAATCCAGAAATGTTGGGTTCAGCTGCTGAGTTCAAACGAAATTTCGAAAATGCTATACTACGTGGGCAAAACGCAGACTCTACAGAAAAGGAGCGTGAGCGGGCGGTGGAAAAAACACAAGAATTAATTGGACTAGTGAATCAATGTATAATAAGACGCACCAATCAGATACTTACTAAGTACTTACCAGTTAAATTTGAAATGGTAATATGTGCTAAACTTACTCAAATGCAAATGGAGCTGTATAAAAATTTTATCAAGTCTGATAAAATCAGAAGAAGCTTAGCGGGTAAGTTAAAAAAAAATAGTATAATTAAATGAAATCAAATCTTTCATATGCTTTAATGTAGACTGCAATGAAAAGGCTACATTGACTGCGTTGGCCGATATTACCACTTTAAAGAAACTGTGTAGTCATCCAGACTTGATCTATGAAAAAGTTTTAGCACGTGAGAACGGTTTCGAAAACTCGCACAGCCTATTTCCCGCAAATTATAATCCTAAGTAAGATCGAAACTTTTTCAGCAAAGCGAAAATAAGAGCTTATATAAAATTAATTTCAGAGAATTTACTCCAGAATTGAGTGGTAAATTTATGCTGCTGGACTTCATGTTGGCTTCAATTAAAGCAAATAGTGACGATAAGATAGTGCTTATTTCTAATTATACTCAAACATTAGAGCTATTCGAGAAATTAGCACGGAAAAGGTAATATTGTAATGCTTAAGGGTATTTGTGTCTCAAAATAATTTCTCTTCATACAGAAAATATTCTTACGTTCGCCTTGATGGCTCCATGACTATAAAGAAACGTAGCAAGGTGGTGGATAAATTTAATGATCCAGAATCTGATTGTTTTCTTTTTATGCTGAGTTCGAAGGCCGGCGGATGTGGCTTGAATTTAATAGGCGCAAATCGTCTCTTTATGTTCGACCCTGATTGGAATCCAGCTAACGATGAACAGGCTATGGCACGTGTTTGGCGTGATGGTCAAAAGAAACCGTGCTATATTTATCGCTTGGTTGCTGTAAGTTGTTTTTTTTTAATGTTGAACAAATTGCTATATATATAATATGTTCCTCAAAATCTGTTTAGACTGGTTCGATTGAAGAGAAAATTCTACAGCGACAAACGCATAAGAAATCTTTATCGAGCACTATAATTGACAATAATGAAAGTGATGAGAAGCATTTCACACGCGATGATCTCAAAGATCTCTTCCGATATGAAGCGGATATACTCTCTGATACACATATAAAGTAAGTTAAATTATATATTATTAATTTTGTGTTAATTTTTCTTGTCAATTCAACAGGTTAAAGTGTAAGCGCTGTGTCAATAACATACAAATGCAACCACCGCCGGAAGATAGTGACTGTACAGCGCATTTATCACAATGGTATCACTGTTCCAATAATAGAGGATTACCAGACAGTGTGTTATCACAGGCATGGATATCCAGTAAATCTGTTTCCTTCGTTTTTCATCATCGTTCACAGGGTGAGGTAAAATCAAATGATTCTACAGGAAAAGGAATTATTCAGAATAATGGCAATAAAGAGAATAAAAAAAAGTTTAAGGACGTCGAGGAAGTTGATTCAGATTATGACCCTGATGATCCAGCTGATAGTGATTATGAGTAGGCTTAATTCATGATGAATTAAAACTACCGGATATTGTAAGAAAATTTCTTCGGGGGTAATAAAGATGTATAAATGTAACTGTATAAATATCTACAACTACAAATGATAGAAATCATCGTTTTATATTTTGCTGCATTTAATTTACTTTCGCTGTTTATGTGTTTAAGTTACTTGGAAATTATTTGTAATTTTCTTAAAATATGCATATTACAATAAAATATACAATATACATATGTATTGATTTATAATTGAACAAGTTGCTCTAATGCATATACTATTTAGTTTTGGTTTTAAAGCTATGCGTCATAATGAGTTTGACCATATAAGCGGTTAACAACAAAGGCCTTAAGTAAATAAATGGGATGGTGAATTACTCATTTGAAATTTATGGAATCTTATGAACATAGTGTTGAAGTACACTAAAATATGTTTGCCTTCGTCATAACCTCATACTTGTAACATATAAGTAAGTATGTATATGTAATCTGAATACTTAACGATCTAATGAACATTATACATATATCGACAATTAAACATCCTGTATTTCATGCCACACATTACTCTTTTCTGGGGGCTTCTCTAATGGCGCCGTTGTAACACTTTGGCATTCGCTTAGAAATTGCTGTATACCCGAATAGTAGCTGAAATAAAAAAAAACACTTGTAAAACAATTACTTGCAATCTATTATAAATATATACCCATCCATTATCCAAGTATCATTGTGTGCACCTCCTATGAATTCGAGTATGCGTTTACGTTCACTACCACATTTCATATATAAAGTGCGCATCATACGTGGCGGTACAAGATTATCAGCCAGACCCGATATAAAAAGAAATGGCACAGCGCATTTACCAATCTTCCACGAAGATAAATACTGAAAAACAACATTTGAAAGAATTTAATTAACATAACAAACTTTCTTTGAATGTAATACTTTATTTTTAAAACAGCATTTTGGTATCAGATTGGCGGATGGATGCACCAATTCCACAGCCATATCGGGTATGCTTGTAAATGTATTCTCAACGATAGCGCACATAATTTTTTGACCGTATACAGTGTCAGCAGCCACATCAATAACTACTGCGCCACCTAATGAGCGACCAAATAATACAATTTGTGTGTGATCCAAATCGTTGCGTGTATATAAGTAATCTATAACAGCACGGGCATCTGTTAATAAACCTTTTTCTGAAGGCACACCCGTTGAAAAGCCGTATCCTCGATAATCTACCATTAATATATTACAATGCAGGTGGTTAAATATTCCCCAAACATTTTGCATGCGGTGACCCATATTTCCAGCATTTCCATGGAAGTAAACAAAAGTTGGCACGGCTTTTGATCGCTCTTTTGGTTGCGATACCCAAAATGCATGCAATGTGACCTTATCCGGCGTGCGTATATTTATAGTCTCATGTGGCAGATTATGCATCTTCGGAATGGGTACATAAATGCGAGAGTTTGCTGGCAAATCGGGATGATATAGCAGCATATCTTGCAGATAATAGAAACCCACTGGAAGAATAGTAATAATATAATTATACTTATATGCATGTTAAAATTAACTATTTTTGTACTTACAAGACAAAAGCGTGAAAAGTAAAGAGAGCGTCAAAATGCTACCATAGTAATAGTAGAATAATATAAAAGCCAATACTCCAGCCACCGATACGGCGTAAACACTGCGCGAACGGGGCAAGGCAATCGGCACTCCACCAAATTCTTGAGACATTTGGCGTTGGTTTGCAGCTAATGGGATTTAATAGCTACCTTGGGTATAACTGAGGTAGAATTAGATGGAGACACATCAATTAACTTGATAATTTTTACCGGGTGACCATATACATTTTCAAGGCTAAAGCTAAACAAAAATTAAAAAAAACAGTTGCAGTATATATGAATATGTAGATGTTAATCACTTTTTACGACATAATGCACCAAAAACCTAAAATGTTTCTCACTTTATACACGATAATAGAAGCAGCTCCGGTCAAAATCTTTGGTGGCTTGGGTTTTATGTTTTCTTGTATTTACATTTAACAAAAATTACCATTCGATACAGCTGATTTTAAAATTTTGGAAAACAGATAATTTATCGATAACTCCTGACAGTGTCTTATTAGATTTCTTTTATAACAGCTGAACATCTTCATTAGGTTGCGTCTACAATGAATATTTTTGTTTTATTTAGACCAAAGAACGTATATACGTTCTTTTGTTTTATTTAGACCAATGAATAGAAGCGACAAGACGGTCTCGTAAATTGGCTTTTTAAGAAAGAGCGTAAATTGAAGGCCCTATCAAAGAACGTATATGAATATGTATATAAAATATTAGCTTAAAGTAGCTACATTTCTTCCCCTTCATAATTTGCAATTTGTTTTCATCGCCAAATAAACATACATTCAAAGCGAATATTTCCCCATCTATTCATATTGGTCGACGAAAAATGGTTCGAGTGGTGGACACGAAGCCCTGAAAACGGCACTACCGCGTTTGCACAAAGACCGTATGAGTCTTGTCGCTTCTTATTCATATACGTTCTTTGTTCATATACGTTCTTTGTTATTCATCTACGTTTTTTGCATTAAGCTATTTTATCAATAATCTGGCAGCTATAGTACTTTACGAACTGTCATTTTTCTACTGCAATTGTTTATTGAGGAAAAGTGCATCGGTTTGATACATTTCTTTTTGGTGTTTCATAAAATAATAAAAAAATGGACAAAGCAGAAACTTTAGATGTTTCAAATAACATAGCTGATAAGATTGCGACAAAAAATGCCAGTACGAATTCACTGGATACAGCTGATTCGAAATCAAGTTCAATAGGTTCGAAACAAGGAGTTGACGTGGGTGCAACCCGCGACACGCCCTTTGTTTATCTCGATGGTGAAGAAGATCAGGATCAGAAAAATGATGTCACTTACGTGTGTCCGTTTCGGGGACCCGCTTTTGGAGCTTTAACAATAACCAACTACCGCTTATATTTCCGTTCGTTGCCATTGCGTGATCATGATCCACCTGTTGTTGTCGATGTGCCATTGGGTGTAATTGCGCGAGTTGAAAAAATTGGCGGAGCAACATCACGAGGCGAAAACTCTTATGGCATAGAAATATTTTGCAAGGATATGCGTAACTTACGTTTTGCGCATAAGCAACAAAATCATTCTCGTCGTACTGTGTTTGAGAAGTTGCAATCATATGCATTCCCCCTTTCTTTTAGTGGACGGTTATTTGCATTTGCACATGCCGGCGCATCCGGACCAGCACCACCTGCAGCTGAAAATGGTTGGGCTGTTTACGAACCTTTGGCTGAATTACGCCGTATGGGTGTACCAAATGATATGTGGCGTATAACCAAGTTGAATGATGCTTACGGTGTTTGCGATAGCTATCCCGTTGTTTGGGCCGTACCCAAAGCGGCATCTGATGAATTTTTGCGTCGTGTAGCACAATTTCGATCTCGTTGCCGTTTACCCGTGTTATCGTGGATACATCCAAGATCTCAAGCTACAATTACACGCTGTTCGCAGCCATTAGTTGGCGTAGGTGGTAAACGTAGCGCAGATGATGAACTCTACCTAAGCTATATAATGGAAGCAAATGTGCAATCAGACAAGTTAGCTATTATTGATGCGCGTCCAAGTGCCAATGCTATTGCAAACAAAGCGAAGGGGGGCGGTTATGAATCGGAGGAAGCATATAAGAATGTGGAAATACATTTTCTTGACATACATAACATACATGTAATGCGTGAAAGCTTGCGAAAGGTGAAGGAAGCATGTTATCCATCAATAGATGATTCTAAATGGCTTTCAGCCATCGATGGTACATTGTGGTTGAAGCATATTAAATGCATTTTAGCAGGAGCTGTACGAATTGTAGATAAAGTAGAGACAATGAGTACCTCTGTAGTGGTACACTGCTCGGATGGTTGGGATAGGACGGCACAACTAACTGCACTGTCCATGCTCTTGCTAGATCCATATTATCGCACATTACGCGGCTTCGAAGTGCTCATTGAGAAAGAGTGGCTGTCTTTTGGACATAAATTTCAGCAACGCATCGGACATGGTGATAATCGTCATTCGGATGCCGATCGCTCGCCGGTTTTCTTACAATTCATTGATTGTGTGTGGCAAGTTAGTCAACAATTTCCAAACGCTTTCGAATTTAATGAACATTTTTTGATAACAATTATCGATCATTTGTACTCCTGCCGTTTCGGTACATTCCTGTGTAACACCGAAGCTGAGCGTGTGGCAGAAGGTATGAAAAAGTCCTTTTTATTTATAGTGACCAAATTTAAAACCTTTTAGTGTATTAATAATATATATATATATTTTCTTTACAGATCTTAAACATAAGACTGTTTCGCTGTGGACATATATTAACGGCTCATTAAATCAGTATTTAAATCCGTTGGCCTTTTCGCATGGCGCACAAACTGTATTACGCCCCATTGCTAGCATGAGGTATGTCAAATTGTGGAAAGGTCTTTATTGCCGTTGGAATCCGAGCATACGACCACAAAATCGTATATACCACCGCACACGGGAATTGCTGGCATTACAGGATCAGCTCATAAAGCAGGTCAGCGATTTACGTATGAAGACGACTTCACGGCAAACAGCACAAACTTCGACTCGGCTTGCATCACCGATGCATTAAAAATTGTTTATATATATATATATTTTTTTTTATTTTGACTATATAAATACATAAAAGTGCACACTTTATGCTCATATAAAAATTCCATTTATTATTTATTTAATATTTTTTTAATTAACATTCATATGAGTAAACTGAATATGACAAGTTTTCTGTATCACTTTGCTACTTTATATTCATATAACTTTAATTTATGCAATGTCTAAAACAAAAAAAAACGTTTTATTAAATAAAACATATATTAAATAATTAAAACTTGTAGAAATTTAAAATTATCTTCCAATTTTTTTAAGTATTAAAACTTACATCGTATGCTGAGATCACTTTGCACTACTTCTATACTACAGAATATATGTATGAATGTACAATTTGCATTTGTGGTTTATTTGCTTACATATGCGCAAAAATTCTTTGGTCCCCTTGTGACCACTTAAAACACCACGGCATCACAATCTAAAAACACGACTGAAATTCCCATTAGCCAATTCTCTGTATTAAAATGTTTATGTATAAATGAACATATGCACATACTAGATATTGGTCTTATGCAAATCTTCTATGTACATACACATATACATAAATATTAAATTACCCAAAAGACTACTTATGAACGAATGAATTTCTTATCTCCCTTTATGGCATGCTTGGTGGACAAATATTATTTTTTTTAAGTATTATTAGTCTCGGTCTTGCAACAGGAAGCTTTCTATATAGATGTATTTCAAATGTACACCCTCTCAGACAGTGAGAAACCGTCACCGCCAACTTTAATGAAAAGAATAGACAGGCCACGGAGAATCTGTCGGTGAGTACTGGAATAGCAATAGAAGTGAAGGCCAATGGGACCAAATCTGCCTTTTATGAGCGCTCGGAGTGTATTTATGAGCACAGCTTCCGCTACGAAAGGGAATGAGTAGAGCTTAATCAACTTCGTCGGGCCCGGAACACGGTCGTATGAAGTAGAAGATTCCAATGGAAGACAATTTATGAAGATAGATGGCTGTTTCTGGATCGAAAGACGAGAAAACAAATCGAGCATGCTCCTTGTACTCTCCCGAGGGCCTAACATCGATTCGGAGAATTTTCTCGTAGAACAGTCGTCAATAAACAATCGAGGCAGACAGCTTGCTCTGAGAGGAACTGGCTATAAGGTAATTGCAGGACGTCATTTCATGTTCTCTGCATCCCTATATGTTTTCGATGGTAGAGCCGGTACGATGAAAAATATCAAACACCATGGTGGAGGGACAACTGTATATTTTTCAACGGCAGCGGCACGCGTTTCATGCATAAAAAGACGGAAGCCGAAACACATGAGAATGTGGAGTTTAAGAAACTTTTTGAAATAGGAAACGCCTGAATATTCTACGAAAATGTGCGACGACTTGGAGAATGTTCCAAAATCTTGGCGTACTCACGAAGTAGGTAAAAGAAAGGCGAAATCTGTAATCAGAGATTTCAAAGCATACTGAGTTTATGGAGCACACATTTGTCTAGCCTGCTTAGTATAATTGAAAGTGCAAAAGTCGGAATTCATACTCGAGCTCCCAATCATCATTCGACAATTATCAAGTTCGAATGACAATTATGCGCCTGGCAAAGAAAGAACCGGCGGAACCGATGAGCTGCAGGTTGAGTTATTAAAGCATGCACCAATTAGCGTCAAGTCAGTCTCAATACCTCCTTTTAAGCGTATTCAATTAGAGACACACACTTCTTCTTCGTCGTTTTTATGTTGGCTTTAGTTAGCTGTCTTCGTGTCGCTATGCCTGAATTTGGTATACCCGCAAAACTTATTCCGTTATGTAAATTGGCGTTGCCTAAGCGAAGGATCTTTTCGAGCCGTTGGGAGCCAAATGAGATGTCTCATACAAGGTGCCTTCTTTCATTCAACTTTGAAATACACTCGGAGGACTTGACATACCCTGCCGGGGGGCGACTACAATTAGAAAAAATAACTTTCTGTAATTTTGAAGATTTGTCGGACCAGGACTTGAACGCTGATCATCCGTGTAAGAGAACCCACTGCTAATTGTTCGGCTAGTGTAGCCGTTGGTACTGTTGTTGTTGTTGTTGTTGTAACCGCAAAAATATTCCGCAATGTACTTTTTGGGGAATGTTGCGGGAGGGACAGTCCTTGGTCGGATAAAAATCTGGGTCCTTTCGGTATAAAGATCCGACTGTCGCGGGAACTATTGGATTTTAGTCGCCTCTTACGACAGACATGCCTTACTGCGGGTAAATTCTTGAGCCCCTAACCCGCTGGTACTAGACATACTAGTAGAGCGAGTTCCCAGGCTACGATAGCAGACCATGTTGTCTGAACAGATAAAAGCACTTTAGCTTGGAAAGCTTTCCACACCGTACTCGCCGGTGGGAACAGACGAAGAAAAAGTCATCTACATCGTTGTAAAGATCAGATAAGAGGAAATTGTTGATTACCCTATAAGCCCATGAAGCCTGTGAGGGAAGTCTAGAAGGAAGTCTAAGTCTATTGAAAAGAAGAAGAGTGTTCTCGAGCCTACATTCTGACAGTATCTCAAATTTTGTATGCCAAAAATTAAAGAAAAAAAAATATTTCCCTCCATATGTCGCATATTTGCGTTAACCAAAAACCAAAGTGGCAATTCACCACAACTACACACCTTTGAACCGCAAAAATGTTTGCCAAAATAAATAGCACAACATATTTTATACATACGCATTAAAACAAAACCAATAAACAAAAACACAAATTGGTTAGAACAAATTAAAAATGAAAACTTTTCACACTGTTTAACAATTAAAGTTAATACTTATATACATATATACATACATACATACATACATACAAGTATATATATGTACTTGTATATCTGCCCTCATATGCTGTATGGGTGAATATATATATATATATATATGTAGTGCACAGTGCACTTCTACCATGGCGCCTGCTGTGGCGTATGAGCAACTTAAATGATTGTATGTAAATATATATGTATGTGTGTATCTTTGTAGTCCAAGGCAGCATCAACAATTTCAACCGCAAACCAGAAACTAAAATACGTGTTTTCGACCAGCGAACGCATACAGCAATATGTAATGAGCCAACAAGTAGCTGTCCACTGAAAACAACAACAACGGACAAGAAGTTTTTTTTTGTACAATATATATGTATATATGCGTATATTTTGATAAATATTGCTAACGGGCATGGTTTGGTGCAGCGTTACCCATGTCTAGCGAGTTTGTGTAGAATAATGTTTGACTTTGTGGTACATACATACATATGTACATGTACTAGACCCCTTTGCTTTCCTTTGATCTTTTTTTTTTTGGTTTTTTTATTTGCAATTTTACTGCATTGGTCGTGTTGTGGTTAATTGTAGGGGCCAAAAAATATGTTTAATAACTAAGAGCTGGGGTCAAAAATCACAAACAAAACTACATACATATTTCGCTATTAATTATGTTTAAAATTTCAAAAATTTCAGAAAAAAAATTATATAATTTTTTTTTTTTTTATATAGTGAGTGTACACCAATTATCTCCTTCTTCTTCTTAATTGGCGTAGGTAATTCTAACGCGATAGTAGCAAACAAAGCGCTTAACTCGTTTCCTATTTGCATTGTTTGACACCAGTTGGAGTCCCCAAGTGCAGCAATATCGCTCTTTGCTTGATTCGTCAATCGGAGTAAAGGTTTTTCTCATTCTCTGCTTCTACGAGCGAGTACTGCGTTTAAGATTTTAAAAGCTGGCGCGTTATCGGTAATAGTGAGGGCGTGACATAGGCAGCATAAGGATCTGTGTAATGCGCCGAATTGATTGGCACTGCCCACTATGATTTGGAAGTCCAGGAGCCGAGTCCTAGTCTGCCCAAGCATCTAAAATTATATGAAAAGCATTTTTATAATTGCGGTCGCGCCTCGACAGGGTATGCCAAGCTCTCTCAAGCCTCGTAAAAATTTATGTAAGTCCCTTCATTCTGGTCAAAAATCGCTTCAGCGGTTACTAAAGCGCCAAAATAGTATTGGAATTATGACCGACTTACGGAGTTTAGTTCTTGTTCGTCGCGTGAGGAATTTCCTTTTCAATTGTCTACCCAATCCGATGATTCTGCTTTGCAGAAAGACGAAATCGTCAATAAGTTCAAAGTTATGACTATCAACAGTGACATGGGATCTAAGGTTCAGGTACACTGACCTCTTTTTGAAGACAGGAGACATTCCGTCTTGACCTCATTCATTACCAGAATCATTCTCATATAGTCTGTGGAAAGCAGAACTAACGTCGCGGTTGTTGAAGCCAACTATAACAATATCATCGGCATATGCCAGCAGTTGTGAGCTCTTGTAGATGCTTTTACCATTTCGATTTCGTACTGAAAATTTTCATTTTCTCCAGCACTAGGCTAAGCGAGTCATATAAAATAGAGTCACCTTGTCTGAAGCCTCCTTTGGTACCGAAAGTTCTGGAGGAATACCAAATTCAGGCAGCTACTTGTCGTGCCATCGAAGCAAGCTTTAAAAGTAAACAAGAGGAGTTATACATATGTCTATTCTTACCTCAGGGATATTTTAAGGATATGGCGTATTACCAATAACTGCTCAATGGTGAATATACCGCTCCTTAAGCCATACTTATAAGGTCAAATCAGTTCGCCGATGGTGGGCTGGAGTCTATCACACAATACTTTCTATAGGACCTTATATGCGATGCTGAGAACGCTAACTCTGTAGGATCTCCTACTTATGAATTCGACAGAACATTCTCATGTTCCAATGATGTTATTGCTGTTGTAGGGATTTTGAGGGGCAGGTGAGCATGGTCTAAGTTATCGTTGTCATCTAACAGAAGGTCCAGAGAATAAGGGAGGTAAGATGAGTAGGTTTTAAGAGGAATGCGAGGAAATGGTTCATTTTGAGAGGGGTTTCATTACATCCCGACAGCAGGATCGTGGTAGGATATTACTTGTACAGAATAGCATTATGCTCCTCAACTCGTAGCATAGATGTTTCGACATACAAATGATGCGCCGGAGACATTAGGAGGTTTCCTGTCACAATCCTGAGAGTAGTGTTTTGACATGCTTCTTCAGCAGCGTAATATACAACCGGCCGGTTAATTGCCTCGTATGTTGTGAGCAACGTTTCTTTGTGCCGCAAGTGCTGCTGTCTAGTGCTTCGAGGATTTTGTTGTGACCCTCTGTACTCTTGTGGTAATTACAGTCGCAGATGGA